TTTAAAACTGTAACAAGTGTTCAGCAATATGGATGGGAAGAAGCAAAAAAAAAAGCCTGAAGATATGTAGTTCTCTTCTTAATATATTTATCTTTTTTTTCTCTTCTCTTATTGTCTTTGGATAGAAAGACAAATATAATGCATAATTTAGCATCTTCTTTGTAAAAGGTCATGGGTCATGTGAATTTATTATTGTTGACCAAACTGAAAATAGGGTAATTTTTCGTACATTTCAAAGTTGTTATTTGACTTTATTAAAATATTAGGTTGGTGCAAAAATAATGTTGTTTTCTCACATATGTTACTTTTATATAATTTCTGAATTAATTCATTGATATATATAGCCATGTTATATATCATTTTGAAGTGCGTTTTTCGCTCTATCGAATCATGTTATTCGTTACTGTTCTCAATCTCTTCATTCATTTTTTTGCAGGCTATTCGATAGCATGGACAAAATTCAAATCTGCACGATTTTCTTGTTCCAGTTCAAACTAGGCCGAAAAGCTGCCAAGACAGCTTGTGATATCAATGATGCATTTGGCCCAGGAACCACTAATGAACATGTGGCACAACGGTGGTTCAAGAAATTTCGCAATGGTGACGAGAGCCTTGAAGATGAAGACAGTCATGGCCGGCCAACTGCGGTTGATAACGAACATTTGAAAGCCTTAATTGAAGCCGATCCTCGCAAAACCACATGAGAAGTTGCTGTTGAAGTCGTCGTTTTGAGGTGTCTTCTACACTCCTTCTGCGTAACAAAAACAATCCATTTCTTGAGTGGATTGTGACATGTGATGAGAAGTGGATCCTCTACGACAACCGGCGACGTTCGGCACAGTGGTTGGATGGCGGAGAAGCTCCACAACACTTCCCGAAGCCAAAATTGCACCAAAAAAGGGTTATGGTGACTGTTTGGTGGTCTTTGGCCGGTCTCATGCATCACAGCTTCTTGAATCCAGGCAAAACGATTACGGCGGAGAAATACTGCTGACAAATTGACGAAATGCACCAGAAGCTCCAACGTATGTGCCCGAGATTGGTCAATATGAAGGGACCAATTCTCCTCCATGACAACGCTCGCCCGCATGTTGCTCAACTGACCCTGCAGAAGCTGAATGAATTGGGCTACGACTCTGCCTCATCCGCCATATTCACCGGACCTCTCGCCCACCGATTATCACTTTTTCAAGCATCTTGACAACTTCCTGCTCGAAAAATGCTTCAAAAGCCGAGATGATGCCGAATCAGCCTTCAATGACTTCATTGCTTCCAGAACTCTGGATTTCTGTGCTAATGGGATAAATAAACTTGTTTCTCGTTGGCAAAAATGTGTCGATTCTAATGGTTCTTATTTTGATTAATAAAGTTTATTATGAAAGGATCTTTTGAAGTTGAACGTCAAAAAACGACATTATTTTTGCACCAACCTAATAATTTTGCTACTTGTGGTAATAAAATAGTACATCCCATCTCATCTCTCACTTGTAACCATCCATCACAATAAAATAAACGTTTTTCAGTGCTAAAGCTGAATTAGTAAAATAAAGCTTCATAAGCTTCTACTTTACTTTGTTACTATAATATTATTATATATATTCTATCTAGAGTTGTTACTGTAATATATATTTTGTGTTTTTTTTTTAACTTATCTTTAAAAGCAACATTTTGCAGAGTCTCTAAAATTATTTTTTTTTTTGAATATGAACTTAGGTCAAAAAAATTTGTAATCATCATTGATCCTCACTTAGAAGCAGTAAAACTATTTTTTGGCTTCTGTTGAGAATGTATGATTTGTATGACTGATATAAAATTAAATTGGACTTCCTGCCTATTACTGATATTATTAATATAATTAGAAATCTCTAAATTATTACTGATATTATTAATATAATTAGAAATCTCTAAATTATTACTGATATTATTAATATAATTAGAAATCTCTAAATTATTACTGATATTATTAATTTAATTAGAAATCTCTAAAGTTCAATGTATATATTAATAACACAACAGTGGCAGTAGTTATCAATTTGAATGTACCAGATCACAGATAACTTTTCTATATTTTGCCATCTCTATATATTTTGTCCATATACAAAAAATATAGAGAGAAGGCACAGATGAAATTTTATTATTAAAAATAATTATTCATATTATGCCTTTGAGAATTGAAAAATATAGGGGTTCCCAACCATTTTTGTGTCAATACCCATTTTCACATAGAAAAAGTTTCCACTCTCCACCTGTATAGTAAATATTCAAAAGCATACCAAAATTGTTTCGTAAAAGTTTGTTACTGGTTTATAAACTGACTTTATGATGTAGTAAAAAATACTAAAAAGAGGCAACAAATAATGCTGACTTATGCAATGGTTGCTGCTGCTGTTACTACTATATTAAAGAACAAATGAAAGCAAACTTGACTATTGAAAACCATATAGAAAATACCAAAATATTCCTTGTTTGCAGGGATATTTATATTTTATCTAGGAATCTGACCCAGTTATTCCTATTTAGACTCCTGTTTTTTGGGGGTTTTTTGTTATATGGGTTCTTTGAATATTTGGAGGGCAGGGAGCATATGTTGAAATTTCCAATCAGCCACAATTTTCTGTTCAGTTACTTGTTGCCCACCCAACAGTGGATGATATCACCCAGGTTGGGTAACCTTGATTTAAAGCTTAGGATATTTTCATTTTTTAAAAACTAATTAATAACATTGAATGAAAATACTAGTTATAAGGGGGGATACTGAAAAGTCCTTGGTCTGACCCACTTTCCAAAAACTAACCAAATGACTAAATATCAGAGTTCTCTTTTGGGAAGGGCTTCTTTGTTATTCAAAATATCTACTATATTTTTTTATTCTCTGGTAAATACTAGAATTGTTCATTTTTGAAGAATTATCTTGAAATAAACACTGAAATATTTTGGCTTGACTATCATTTACCGAGCACACAATCCTGAAGGAAGATAATGATTTGAATAAAACAGGTAACAAAATCAAATTGATAAACACACATACTCTGCTGATAACTATGGTGGCATAGAATGAATTCAAAGAAAACTTAAGAATAACAACTAATAATTTAAATAAAGAGATTCTCACCTATTCTTGTGCTAGATCTGCCTTTAATTAACAATTATATTCAACCTAATGACAATTAACAGTAGATAAAATAATAAGAATAGTTCATTTACCGTGATCTGATTGTTCAATGAGGCCTGAACTGTACTTGTCAAAATATTGTAATGAGATTGCATCACTATTTTAGTCAATTATGTTTTTTTCTATTTAGTCTTATTTAGTCAGTTTTATGCAAGTTGCTGTCTATTTCCAGGACTAGTAAGTGGTAGTCAAGCTGATATTTTTTCTAAAACATGCTTTTAAAAAATTATTAAAACACTTTTAATGTGTGTCACTCACCTTTGAAAAATAAATCCTTCAACTATTTATTTTAAAAAAAAAAAAAGAAATATATAGCCACACACTTGTAAGAATAAGGATGACTATGTTAAAAGTAAACACAAGTACATTAATCATTTTATATAATTTTCTTTTCAATAGTTATTACAATTATTTTTTTAACTTTATATATATATATATATATATATATATATATATATATATATATATATATATATATATATAAAAAAAAACAAAAACCATTGATAGAACCAACAGACAACTTGCCAAAACCTAAAACACTTATCCCGATACAGTCTCAAATAAAAATGACAATAGTGAAAAAGAAAGAGAAAAAGGTCTAAGGTAAACTTTCCTGCTCAGTAAAGTGCTTAAAGCCAAGATTGAACAAAAATGCTTAACAACATTAAATACTATGAAAGCATGGCTCTAGTTGTGACCCGAATTTCACAGTCATGCAATCTTCAGATGTCTTGAACAACTGAAGATCATACGTGTGTGTGAAATTTGGGTTATGACTATAGCCATCCTTTCATAGGATATATAAACTTTATATATATATATATATATATATATATATATATATATATATATATATATATATGTGTGTGTGTGTGTGTGTAAAGTTATACATTATATTATATGATATAATACATTTATATATATATGTGTGTGTGTGTGCGTGTGTCATATATGTATTATATATATATATATATATATATATATATATATATCATATTAAAATAAGAAAATCTTGTTATTTATTAGCGCTTTTATTTACCATGGGTATGTGCAGGTGGTGTAATGGTTAGCAGCTTGGAATAAGAAATCAGCGAGCCAAGTTCAAATTCTGTTTGAAATTGTTACATCCATTTTCTCACAAATCCTGTTGGGAAAGCTATGAATTCATCTCTTCTCCCCACAAGCTATGGGTTAAATAATAAGACTGACTGGACTCTCTAGCCATGATTGGCAACCAGTATAGAAGTACAACTGTGGATTCAAAACCATATAAAAAACCAAGTGGGACATATACTTAAATTGTAACTAAGATCTTCACAGCATAGTTGCATTATAAACCACAGGTTGACACTGTAGGTGTTGGAGGAACATAGATGGTCTTGTTGCATGCTCAGAGACGAGCAGCTATGCTGAAGATAAGAAGTTATGCTGATTTGCAGTGCGTCATTAAGTCGAAACATCTCTGATGATATTCACTAATCATTTTGTATAGCAGGCAAAGTTCTCCAAAGTTTTCAGGTTAAAAAGAAAAACATTAAATAAACTCTTAAAGAAGATAAAAGTCAGAAACTATAATTGTATAGAAATGATAACAGTTAATAGTATCTAATAAAAAAAAAATATATATGTATAGATTTGATGAAATATAATTCACCCTGAATTATATTAGGTATAAAATTTGGAAGATGAACAAGTATAAACATCTTAGATATGCTGAGTGAACAGGGATAAGATTTACATAAGTAATGACCATGAGGAATGGCAAATGGATACTGAATGAAAGTGCAACAACCCTGACTGGCCAGTTGAGTTTGTCTGCACAGAACAATCAAACGCCTTCTTCACTGTCTTGGTCAGCTGTGGACACTGCTTGCAAACAAGCTGTCAATTCAAAAAAGAAAAGAAAAATCAAAAGTAAACAAACTAAAATAGGTAGATAAATAAAATAAAGAGTAGAAACATTAACAAGCAAATATCAAAGGTACAATACTGTACAGGTAAAAAAACAAACATGAATAGAAGTGTATATACACACACACATACACACACACATATATATATATATAAGTACACGATTAGGATTGGTTCATTGTAGCTTATATAACAGCATTTCCCCTATCAAGGGGAGTTGGGTTGATTTGAACCTTTTAAAATTTTATTCTACATTCAACACCCTTACTTGATAAGACACCAGAAGTGTTGAAACAAAATAGCTATTTTTGTAGGGATTTTATAACATGTTTATGTTATAATTTTCAAATAAATTTATATATATATATATATATATATATATATATATATAATATATATATATATAATTTCAACCCAAGCTAGGCAATAAAACCATTAATATGCAGGGGATTACTGAGTGTGAAACAATATAAAAAAAGGAATATACTAAGAAGTGAGAAAAAATGAATAACAGAAACTAAGAAGACAGAAGATAACAATTGGTATTGAATTTAAATTTTTAAAGATCAAATTTGACTGGAAAGCAAAAAGCCAGAAGAGAGTTGCACAAGAGAGAAGTCTAAGAGAAGAAACCGTTATCATAGAAGTTATGGTTACAATTAGTCATTTCAACTGTAAAATGATGAGACTTTACCAGCAATCTAGAACTGCACTTAAATCCATAAAGTCTAGGTACCATAGAGAAAAGTTCATTAGAACAATTATCATGAAAATATTTATAGAAAAGACACAGGGAAGCTATATTACAGCAGTGGGAAAGTGACTGAAGCTAAGATGCCAAGTTCAGACCAATGACATTGCAGATTCTTCTTTGGATTTTATTAAGGATATATTGCAGGAGCACCAAACCATATGTAGCAGCAATGATATACTTGGTTTCAAATTAGATCACTTTCTGATTCACTCCATATCAAAACCTATCATGTGGACATGAATGCTATGAAAGCAAAATTAAAAATAGAAAAGTCACTTTTGGCAACAAAACAAATCCTCCAAAACATAAAATGAAATCTAAATGTCAGAGGCAATCATGAACATCGCCACTAAAGCAAAAGCGTGGCAAAAAAACAACACTGAATCATGTATCCGCCATGACTACATAAAAGATCCAGTTCAGTGCCACTCAAAGCAGTATGTAGGTAATCACAAAGTTCAGTAGTGACCTCATGGTCAACAAGCTTCAGTACCAAGCCATTACACAATGAATTCTCCCATCTTCTGGGTCACTTCCCTTGTCCACAAGAGACATTCTGTCTTGATCAATTATACCAGCAATACAGATAATTTTTATTTCAATATATTTTGTATCCTTTTCTTTTTGTTTTACCGCCAATACTTTGTTGTTTTGATTTGGTACTCTTACAACTATATATATATATATATATATATATATAAATATATATAAATATAAATAAAAAGTATATATATATAAATAATTATATATATATTATTTATATATTTATTAGAAAGTGCTCAATATCAGAGATAGAGCTAACATATTTGGTTGGATAGATGTGAGTTTGTGACCCTGATCGCTAAAGCGTGAAACCCAGGGTCACAAACTCACATCTATCCAACCAAATATATATATATATATATATATTGAACCATACACTATATATATTTATTTTTAAATCAGAAATAATAAAGTTCAATAATTATAGGAGTCAACTCTGAGTTTCATAATTTCTCACTTGTCAGGACTTCTGATAAGAATGACTGTATTTATATATATATATATATATTCTCTATATACATATTAAGTGCTACATCTTACTGAGATGAGAGCCGCCTCTGTCATTTATCTATCACCCTCATGTCACTTTTGAACATAAGATTGGGCTAACTTAGGGACTCCTGCTATGGATTTATCCTTAGGGTTTACTCCTGAAACCTTTCCCATGATTGGGTCTGGCCACAAGGCAGCAGAGATTTAAATTCAGAGCTTTCCTTCTCTTAGATAGACTACCCAGGCTGACAAGTTTCATCTACCTGATGTATATATATATATATGCACATAAACACATGTATGTCAGCATCATCAAATGTAACACTTTAAGAATTATTATTATTATATATTTTAAATTATATTAAGAGAAATCTATAAACAAATAGGAAAAGAATAAAAGTATAAAAGAGTCAATTTTTAATGTGTGAAATGTTTGCAATTTGTGAGATTTGATCACCTTCCTCTAAATTAAGACACACTTAAAACCCCATCATTAGTTCTTGGCATTTATTTTACTTCTACTACTATCATTAGTTTATGTCAAGTCACTCTATAATTGCTACTGGTACCATGTAACCCAGAATACCTGGTGTATGGTTGGTTCATTAGTGTCTAAACTGGTTACCTCAGCAAGCTTTTCTGTTGAGGAAGGTGGTTAGACACCCTGCAGGATTAAAAACAAAACCTATCAAAGGGCAAATGAACCTTCTTGTTGGTAATCTTGAACAATAAGATAGACTGGGCTCCACAGCTAAGTATGGTGATATGGCATCACTTGGCAGGAGGCTTCCTTGATTGAAGTCAATGGCTAGAGCAGAGGGTTCCCCCACTGGAATCAATGGCCACATTCCTGTGAGCAAGGCATGCCTTCAAATTGCAAGATATCAACTGTGGTTTTACCTGGAGAGGGATGAGTACTGCTAGGTCTATTTGTCTAAAACAAGATATATGAATAAATATCTCTCTGGCTTTCAGCCCAGATATGTAGAGAAGTGGTCAGGTTCTCAGCAACCCTATGAACACACCCATTCATGGGATGTGTGGTGGTGATGGTGTGAATAATGATGATGATGATTAGTACTTTTCATTAGTATGGTAGAAAATGCAGTATAGAATAACAGTAATCATTACTTAGTTATGTTCTTTAAGGGAAAATATAGTAGTCATGTATGAAATAGTTATTTATTAAATTTAGTTTAATCTTGTATAAGATCAAAATAAAAGCAGGCAGTCAGTGAGGATCAAAGATGACATCAATAAATTGGCTGGTTAGATAAGCTTATGTATATTGATATAATTCATTTCGCAAAGAGTATTTTTAGTTATTTTGTCAGTGATAAAAGTTAGTGAACTAGAAAAGCTTATGTTGACTATGCTGACTTTTGTGGTCCTACCTAGGATTGAACTCACCATTCTTGGCTAACAACAAATTTCTGAAGATAGACTCCCACACCTCAGCTTAAATGATGTGTTCTAAGCAGTGGCAGTAGCTTGTCTCCCTTCCTGCCAAAGTGAATTTAACCTTTAGGCATTATTTAAATTTACTGAAATTTCTCCTGGAGGTGAAACAGTCTATTGTTTGATGAAGTGCTGTCACTGAGTTTATTGATCAAGAGCCTGTTTTAACAGTTTATTTTCCTGAAAAATGATTTAAGAAAAATTCTCAACCAACAGTAAAACTGTTTCAGTCAATGAATGTCAATGTTTGCTGTATGGAAATTGCTAATCTCACCATTACCATTATAAGATCCATTAAGTTATGTTTATATTTTTCACATTTATTCTTTCTTTAGAGCTATCATATTTTGTTTTATCCTAGATGTTAGTGAAAAAGATAACTTAAAAATTACGGTAAAATAAGAATTAATAAAAAAAAAATTATTATCAGAAAAATTCTGGTAAGAATTAAAAAGAAAATTGCTCAAGATTTAATTACCTGATCATGAACTCAAACTGTTAAAAAATAAAAAAAAAAATAGAACTTAATTTTAAAACATGGCCCATTTTTCAAACACACCAAAACAATAGATTAGGTAATTTTTGTCTGAATTTTTTGATGAGGATATCATTATTTACACTATTTATATTTGGACAATTGTCCTCATCTTTGTTTTAATCAATGCTTCGGCCATTGTGCCTTACAGGACAATGGCCTAATGGATAAAAAAAAACATTGGTTTGTAAATTTGGTAACATAGTGGTTGTGAGTTCAATCCCTGAGTTAGGTAATGTGTACTTGCACTCAGTGGAAAACGGGTGTGCAATAACTGAACAGTGCTAAATAAAATAAGATCTAGATGATATCCCTAGACATGGGCAGTAAAATGAGAACAGTCTACCCCTGTAAATTAAATAAAGTGTTCTGTTTGGAATTCCCTGTAGGTTACCCAGATCAATATACACCTGAGGAAGGCCAGAAACAGTGGAAATGTTGTAATAAAAAACAACAAAAATGCAGATCATAGTCCAAATATAAATAGTGTAAATAATAAATTAATTATTAAATAAAAAAGTGAACAAAATATTTATCAAGATTATTTTTTTTTAAAACTAAGTATTTATCAATTTTGTACTAATGCACTTAGGAAAGTCCTGAATCCATCTCTTCTCTGCCACCAGCTATGGGTTAAATAGCAGAGTGACTGAGCTCTCTAGACTTGAGTGGCAACAAGTTTAGCAGAAAAAATAATTAAACTCCAAACCATGAAGATGGCACCAGGAAATTACTCTATCTTTCTCAATAATTCACAGCTAATAAACAAAAGAAATCTGTGGAGAGTCATGATCACCTACATCCTGAAGGTACATGGCATTAAAAAAGAAAAACTTATAAACAAATTCAAATTTAGCACATGGTGAGAATGAATGGGAAAAATGTAAATCTAGAATTACCATGGCAACTGCAGTCACCCCAGGATCCTTTGTATCTGCTACTGAAGCTGAACATCTTAAGCCTGGTCTGAAAAGGAAAAGAAATCTTTGATGAAATCTAAACATGCATTTGAAAATCTAAAATAAGCTAAATTGGTTTTAAAGTAAATATGTAAGTAGATCACATTTTATCCTGATAAAAAATAACTGTTAAGAAGGTTCGGATACACATTATATATATATATATATATATATATATATATATATATATATATATATATATAAAACTTTATATATATATATATATATATATATATATATATATATATATATATATAAAAAGTTGTTATGGTGAAACACACCTATTCTATAGTTAATAGACTCTCCCACCTAATATAAGTAGGAGTAGTAAGAGAAACGAGGGTCAGTCGATGTCGGATGACAGTAGTCGACAGTCGAATACGAAAGTAGTCAGCGACCACAAGATTACTCTGCATAATACCTATTATATAAAGTTCCTAACGTTTTGTACGTCGAACCTATTTAGGACCGATTTAGTACAAATACAAGCCTCCACTGCGAAATAACTAAGCAACAACTTTGGCAATGAGGATGAGATTCGAACTCACGCGAGGAAACCTGATGGAGGTGATTTTCGATATGTTTCATCTAACAACATCTGCAACGATTTTACCTGAGGTACACCGATCCAGGAGAAAAAGAAAGGCAACTGATCATTTAAAAGTGGATTCAAAATGTAGGAGATACGCTACGATGTTGCTAAAAAAATGAAGTATTTTTTTTTGTTTTTTCTTCATATTTCCTGTAAAAAATAAATAAAAAAAACTGTTTTACTCCTACAGAGTAAAGTTTTAGGAGGGGGGTGTTATGGTGAAACACACCTATTCTATAGTTAATAGACTCTCTCACCTAATATAAGTAGGAGTAGTAAGAGAAACGAGGGTCAGTCGATGTCGGACGACAGTAATCGACAGTTAGTCGAATACGAAAGTAGTCAGCGACCACAACAAGATTACTCTGTGTAATACCTATTATGTCAAGTTCCTAACGTTTTGTACGTTGAACCTATTTAGGACCGATTTAGTATAAATACAAGCCTCCACTGTGAAATAACTCCACAACAAAAGTGGACATTAAATTGTTCTGATAAGCTTTCCTAGTTGGTACCTCAACTACAAACTTAAGTGCAGTACTGTATTGGCAGTTAGGTCCCATAATTTAACTGTTGAAATTGCTAGTTGTAATCATAAGTTCTATGCTAATAGTTTCTTTTCTCTCACTCTCACTTGTGGAATTCTTTCCTGGCTTTCTGCTTTCCTGTCAATTATAACCTTCAAAATTTAAATGCAATGTCAATCATCATCTTTTGTCTCCTTGAATCTTCTTCTTTTATTGTCCTTTCTGTTTCCTACACCCTCAGTAACCAATCAATCAGTCATTAGTACCTAAACCATATGAATTTAAGTGTACTAATAAATTGGCAAATAGGTTTCATCCTTTTATTGCTGAAAGAACTAAATGTGACTGTATATTCTATTCTAATAGTTTATTTTCTCGCACTTTTCACTTGTGGAACTCTCTTCTGATTTCTTATTTCCCTGCCACCTACAATCTTCAAAAATTTAAATGCAATGTCAATCGCCATCACCTGTCTTCCTGAACCATGTTCTTTTATTGTCTTTTCTCTTCACATTCTCTTTTACTCCCAGTAACCCCTTGCATCTTAGTGGCATTATCACCTTGCTTAGGGTGAAATGATTATAACAATAAAAATAAACATTCCCTAATAGCATTTACAATGTCACATTGACCAAATGTCTTTAAATATTTATAATTATTAAAATGATTCATAGATTTAAAATGATGTTTGCAGTTACTCAGAATATGCTTATAATTACTATCACTGTCATCGGTCCAGGACTGACCTGATTTGAACTGCTTTAAAAAAAGCAAACATTACCAACAATAAAGTTTCCTTCTAATGCATTTGCACATAACCAATCAATCTATTCATACCATATGATTTGAAACAAACAGGTGCCGAGTTTTCAGTAGAATAAAAGGTTGTCCTAATTTCATAATTTCTTACTTTTCAGTAATATTCCTCTTTTTTTTTCTTTTTTTTTCTTTTTTAAATCTAACAGTATATCCTTATCCATTATGGGTAAATTTAGGCTTATTTCATCAACTGTCCAAGGTGACATGTCCATAAAAGTACATGAAACTTTAAAATATTAATTCTATTTTAATAATCTGTCATTAGTGGAAAAGATTTGAAAAGAGTGTTAGGTACATTGCTCATTGTAAAAATGTAGACATTTATGAAATAACAAAATGATATTTATTGATGAATAGAAAAAGAAGATTTGAATCCTTGCACAAGGTCATCTGTAGGAGGTCAATCACAGGCATGAAAGGAATATCTCCAAAGTCAATGATATTAAGTTGAGTATGAAAAGGTTCCATAGTCTTTAATAACACATGCCTCTATATATATATATATATATATATATATATATATATATATATATAATAAACTGTAAAAACTAAAAATGAAAATTAATCATGACATTCATTTATTTATATTGTTTTTGCAAGTTTAACAGTGGAAGCACATTCTTGTAAAATTCTGGCTATGTTGATCCTATTTTCCTGCTCCTTCAACAAGATCATAGCTTATTGTAATTTGAATGTAAAACTACCATTTCTATTTTTGAAAGAAAACAAAACTTAAATCATAGTTTTCTGTAGGATTTTTTTGTTTTGAATAAAGAGATTTTATTTTTGGAAATAACCATCTGGATTTATTTAGATTTTTAAATCATGCAATTTTGGTTGACCGACTGATTTAAATTTAATAACTTGGTATAGAGGGCTAAAAACCACAATAGTAAAAGAATTAAAGTAAACAAACAAAAGTCACAATGATTATTATCCTCTAGTACCTAAAAGTATGAAGGAAGGAAAGTCACAACTTTGGTTTCTGGGAATGATCAAAAGGTTGGTTGGAACATAGCAAACTAGTATTATATGGCCTCACATATCACATAAGAAGCTGAATTCTAACCAATTATAGACCAATGTAATGTAAACAAAAAAAATGTGAATGGCCACTTAGAAAATTGCTAATCTAAAAGGTAGGTAACTTTAAAAATTGAATTCTTAGAACATAAATTAACAACATACAATTTAGAATTTATCAGACGTTATTTCAATTCCCTAGACATGTTTTCACCACTAAAATGCATATTTACACTTTTTTTTTTTATTATTTTACTAATCCACAAATTATAAAATATTGTTGGTTACCCTGATTTTATGATTTTCAATTGCTTATATGGCCTGTTTTGCAAATGAACGCTATTAGGTAAATTTTCTACCTCATAGTCCATTGCATTTAAAGATTAAATTATAAAGTTTGTTGTAATATTTTGTTTAACAAAAATTTGGCTGTTTTAGAGGATATGTTACTAACAGTGAAAAAGTATTGACATTTTCTTTTCCTCTTGGAACTGCATAGAAAAATGGATAAAATTTGTTAATTGTATGGATTGGTTTCCTACAAAAAATTCAGTTCTCTGTATGAAACATTTTGAAGAGAAATTTATTTTGAAAGGAAAACAAAACAAACTGAATTGGGATTTACATCCAATACTTACAATACATTAAAAAAAAAAATAGGAAAACCGTGTCTTTTGCCAAATACAAGGGAATTCAGAAAGCCTCCGTAACAAAGACTGGTCCAAACTGAAGAATTACGTGATTTTATTTCAGTTGATATGATATATGATTTTACTTAATTAGAAGATGCAAAGTGTTGTCCTAACGGTTTTGAATTTAAAAAAAAAATTATATTTTAATTTATAGAATAGTCTTTGACCCTGAAACACATTTTCCATCTATAAAAGAATGTATTTGCATTATCAAAACCTTTACACCCAGCTCCAGTACAATGGAATCCCTGTAGCGTTACCTCAGTGGTTTATACATGGACATAATGCTAAACTCACAAGATATAGCATGTTAGAAAATTTTCCAAACTGCATACAAAACATGATGGAAGAACAACCATACTCAATTCTAAAAGAATTACTAAAAAGACAACATTACCAAGCAAGAAGTCAGCTTTCATTTTCTGCAGAACTAATACATTATGCCTTACTACTGCACTATATGACTCAACAAGCCTACAAATTACTTCTGGAAAAATTACCATTACCATCATTTTCTTTATTAGAGAAAATTAAAAAAAATTAATTAAACATTTTCAATGTGAAATGTTTTCCCTGGTCGTGGTAAGCAATGATAGTGATGATGCTACAGAGAAGCAGTACTTTGACTTACTTTCTCAAGGTCTTACAGTTTCATCAATCCACATGTTACAGTTCATTTGTGCTTGTTTTGCTGTACTAGACTATGCAGATAAATTTATTGTAAAACATAATGAATTCACTACAAGAGAATCTGCTGAAAGCATTTTGGAAACTTATTCTCCAAAATATGTTTTTACTTGTGAACAACACACTGAAAAAGGAATTCACTTTGCAGCAAAAATTGTTGTGAATATATTTTACAACAACAAATGAAAAGTTTTCATTGGATGAAGAATGTTTTAAAAAAAAAAGGTCAAGGTCAAAAGAAAATTGATTTATAGAGAAATTGTTGCTAAATTTTTTACTTGTATTTGTTTTGTATTACTGTTTAATTCTTTAATAACTTTTTTTTGTTTGTTTTTACTTTTCTGTTTAAAAAGAGAAAAAAAAACAATCTGTGTATTTTTGGAAGGTTTTAACATGTGTTAGATAAAACAGACATAAATTGACTATAAACGAAATAGACCTGTTAGAAATTAGCCTGAAATGTGACATTTGAGGCCTGTATATAATAGTGGACTGTGGTTAGAACAACTTTGGTTTCTGGATTGGATGAAAAATCACTAGAAAAAAACACTTTTAAAGCAAAGTAATTAACATTTTAAATTGTTTAGTAATAAAAAGTTTTAAATTATTTATTTAATATAAATTCATTTTCTTTTAAATTAAGTTTTTGCTTTTGTGATATTTTGTC